GCACTAGCATATGATGCTGGTTCAACCCATTTCATGAAGTAATCAATCACTACACAAATAAACCTATGACCATTCAAAGTTTTTGGAGCAATAGGCCTAATAACGTCCATACCCATATAGAAAATGGCCATGGAAGTGCTAAAACATGCAACGTAGTTGGAGAGGCATGAATCTTATCAGCGTAGATCTGACATTTGTGATACTTTTATGCATAATCATACTATAATTTTTTGTTCTCAACTAATAATATCCTGCCCTCATGATCTATTTAGCCATCATATGACCATTTAATGTGCCGTACTATTAGGCGATCTGTAAGCACACAGAATTATACTAAGTAATAAAATGATAAGTAAAGTTTGTTGCCACAAAGATTGTATATGAGAGACAAGTACCAAAATTATCTCATTCAAGCTTATCTTAGACAAATCAATAAGATATATTCAAAACAAAATATAAACTTAACAAATTAAACCTTAAAACATGCAAACTAATATGAATCAAACTAAACTAATGCCAACAAGCTTTAAATAACATAGAAATAGCTAAAAGTGAAACTAAAAAATATAAATAAGCTTAAATCGAAATCAACACAAAACCAATAATCAAAATCAAAATCATTTGATAGCAACTTAACATGCAAATAGCAAAATCGAAAGCTATATGAACCTTAATTAACATGAACCAAAATCAATTAACTAAATTAATATGCAATATTAAGTAATAAAACAGGAACCAAAATTATATAAATCAATTATGCAATAACCAAATGTAACCTAAACCAATTAACATGCAAAGTATAAAAATTAAATAAATCAATTATGCAATAATCGAATGTAACCTAAACCAATTAACATTCAAAGTATGAAAATTGAACTTAGCAACCTAAACATATTAAACTAACAAGAGATAAAACCTTAACTAACCTAAACCAATTAACATTCAAAGTATGAAAATTAAACTTACCAACCTAAACTTATTAAACTAACAAGAGATAAAGCCTTAACTAACCTGTATTAACCCTTAAATCATGCAACAAACTATTATGAACTCAATTTAATCTAATAACATGCAATTAAACTTACGTAAACCAAAACTAAATCTAAATCAACTCAATAAGCAAAAACCAAATACTATTTACCCTAATCTCATGTAACACATGCAAACCCTAACCACCTTAAACTGAATATGCAATAAACCTTAAAGACAATAGCTGAATATGATTAAGATGAAAATATACAAGAATTCAACTTGAAATCAAATGAACAATCAATAACAAAAATAGTTTTAAGCATAATGTTGGCATTTGCCCTTCAAGCCAAACCATATTTTGGCTAAGATATTGTCATATTTGTAGTAATTTGATATTTGATATCTTATAAAGGTCTTATGTCCTTATCATTGAGTTTGTGTACATATATTTCAATGGTATGCTTATATGATAAGTCCTTGAAATATAAATAAAGCTTTACAAGGGAATTATAATGAGATTGTTATGAGATCATCATTGCATAAAAGCTATTTGTTTCAAAATTGTTCCTAGTCGACACTTTATCAATAAGAGGACATTGACAAAAGTTGTTGAGATTAGCACATGGTTATTTCATTTGCTTATGAAGCAAGCAGCTAATCTCATAGGTTGAAGTTTGGACAAAATTAAGCTAACATGTAGGTACTTGTTACAAGAACAAGTTCATAGAACATGACTCGATATAAGAATATTATATGGTAGTCACATAGTGTCTATAGCTACATTCTCTTATGATGCTTGTATAAATGATCCTTTGACTTGAGATTACTTATCATCTTATATGATGAATGTTGCACTTTGACTTTACTTTACTTATAATTCTAATAAGGAATGCTCTAGTCGAGTATTGCTAGGTATAATATGAGGCATATGAAAATGTATGATGTAATCAAGATAGAATTTATCACCTTGTGTGATCAAGAAAGTATTTCAACTTATCTTGATTGAATTAACTTGGAAAATCTTTAGCCAAAATGAAAGAAGGTTTAGAATTATTCTAAAGCTTATTTGTGAGTTCATGTCAAGGACAAGACTAAACATGATTGAACAAGATTGAGTCGACACTAAACCATACTCAATGTTCAAATCGATATACTATGTGGTAAAAGGATAATAATTATACACTAAGACCATTAATGTATAGGTTGTCAACCATATTAACTTTTCTTTAGCAATTCTGGAGCATGGTAATAAAGCTAGCATTGATCATGATCTATAATAAGATTGGCTAATTGGAGAATTGGTGATGAAGACAAAACGTTTGTTTCATCCATAGCCAAATACTAAGGCTTATAATGTTTGTGTTTATTGCCAACATGCTAAAGAACCTAATGGGTCACACATAATAGGATAATTGTGAAAGATTAAAATTAGGATAAATTAAGTTGGACTTAATTTGATTTTGGTATGACAAAAAATAGAGGAAATAAAAACAAGAGAAATAGTTTCTCTTGTTTGGTAGATTCAGATAGTATAGGGTCAATTATGAAAATTTGCATTCCAAGCATTATACCTAATGTAGCTAAATGCTTCCCCTATAAAAAGAACATCCAGCCACCCTTTCTTGTAAGGAAGTATGCAGAGAAGAAAGAAGGAAAAACTAAGAAAAAGAAGTTTCACTCAGGTAAATACAAAGAGGTCTTGCAAACACTTACTAGCTAGAGTATGGCTTTGAGTTCTACCAAACCTTAGAGAAGGTTCTTTCACAAGAGTTCATATGGATCACCATTAGAGGTTAAACATTTGGGTAGCTTCTTGGCTTGGAATCTATTTGGAAGGCCACCAAATTGAACCAAAAGAATTTTGGCATCCAAGGTAAGCACCAAAGTTGAAACCCATGCATGCTTGTGAAGTTGTATGTTTGTATAACCTTGTTGATTGATTTTGGCTTTAGGGAATTAAAATTTTTAAAAATTCCACTACTTTAACTCTATATAATGATGCAAAATTCCATACAAGTGGTATCAAAGCCTTGTCAATATAGATTATACAAATTATAAGTTTGTTTGGTTGTTTATGATATCAAAACTGTTTTGATTGCAATATGTTGTTGTGATATAGAGGCTGAAAAATTAATTTTTGTGGTTTTTTTTAATTGGATTCCTTTAGAATATCAAATCATGATGTCTTAGGATGGTTGGGTTTAAATTTTATGATTTATGGATCTTGTTTGCATGCTCAATAAAATTTTTGTTTGCAATCTATCCATATTAGAAAAATTCTACTGTAATGATATTACGAAAATTGTTTCTCACTTTAAGTATATTATTTAGCTACCAAAATTTTAACATGTGAAAATGGACATATTGATGATCATTGTGTAAATATTTCAGAATTTTTTGAGGTGATTTGGTTATTCAAAAGTTGATGACAATCTTAACCCAGAAATCTGTTAATGGCAGCTAGGAATGTAAAATATGCATATGATGCATGGTTGCCCTAATATGATTATAGTAACTGGTTTTCTTGATGCAGCTGGTACTTTTAAAAGTTAAGAGACTTTAAAAACCTGCTCACTAAGATTTTAATGAAAATCTACTTGGTAAGCAATATTGGGAATCTTAGGAAACTTGTTCACCAAGATTATCACTGAAGTTTAGTGGACTGTTTCTATAAAAGTCAAAGTAATTGCTACTTGTGATTCAAGAATCATAACCAAAGGCATAAGAAAGCATGGGAAAGAGTTTAGAACTATTGGATGGTGGCTAGTAGGGGTGGCATAGCAAAAGATGGCCAAAACTACCTAGTTTCCATAAAAACTTCCTTAGCCGTAACTTGCTTTCCTTATTGGATGGTTTTTCAGCCAAGCCCTAGATTGGTGTTATTTCCTATTCAATTTGGATTCCTAAATAGTTTGGGTTTGAGAAATGATATTTCATATAAAATCCAAATTGAATTACACTTTCTAAATTGTTTAGAACTTCAAATTAATAAGACTACAGCACCTAGTTGGACTAGTAAAATCCCAATGCATGTAATTTGACTTGATTTTAATTGATTGGCATTCCCAAATGGTTTAGAGTGATGTCAACCATGTTACATTAATTCAAGTAAAATTATAATTCCTTAATTGTTTAGGAAATTATGATTGCAAATTATATGTTCCTAAGATAATAGTTAGACATATTCGGCCATGCTAGCTAAACATGTCTATGCCTTGCATCACATTGAGTTGGATTGATGATTGATATATGATATTGATTTAAAGAATAGATGTACAAGATCATGAATTTGAACCAAACATGATGATTGTTGTCGTAAGCATGTTAATTAAGAGATAAATGCCATGTATGCTATAGTGATTTATTGTTATACAAGCTATAATTTATATGTGATAAATGTCATGTATAATTGTGAGATGCATGATAAGATTATATGTATTGGATATATGATGAATTCTTATGCATGCTTGATGAGACCTATGATGAATCAAATATCCTTTATGAAAAATATTAGGTCTTGATGCATTCCATTAACATAAACAACTAAACTTTCTACTAGTTAGGCTTGTTGAGACAAAACTTAAGGCACTCATTTTCCAAAAAAGGTTGTGTTATGGTTAATGGGTCTTACTTAACTATTATTGTATTGTCCGAATGTGAAAAACTTGACTGTACAACAATAGAGGCAATGATCAGGCGAATCACATAAGATGTGATTAAACAAAGAGTTATTACCCAATTGATCTAAAAGTCTCATGGGGATGTGATTGATAAGCAAGTTATCTACCTAATTTACTTATCATGGCTTGTTGAGACAAACTTTAAGGTTATGGTAAACTAAATGTGATAATAGCCCCCTAGAAAAATATGATTTTTCCAAATTGATATTGAGGGCTATTGATTTGATTAAAATAGTGGGAACAACTAATATATAGATTTAGACTTTATCTATGTTGGTACTGAACAAATGGTTGATACTTGTTCAATTTTATAGGTTGCAAAATAAGTAATAACTTATCGCTTTGTAGCATACTTGATCCTAACAAGCGCATAAGACTTAACTTCAATGATTGGTATTATAATCTAAAGCTTGTCCTAAGGCAAGAGAAAATGCTTTATGCTCGTGATGAACCAGTTCCATCAGAACCAGATGCTAGAGTTGATGATACAGTGTGGCAAGTTTATGAAACCCATAATGACCATGCTGATCAAGCCTCGTGTATCATGGTGGCTAGCATGACCTCTAAGTTACAAAGGCAACATGAGATTATGAATGCTCCAATAATCATTTTGCACCTTAAAGAATTATTTACCAAACAAGGGCAGATTGAGAGGTTTGAGACCTCTAAGGAATTGTTTCAAATAGTGATGTTTAAGAGCACTTCAGTCAAAGTGCATTGTCTCAAGATGATCAATTAAATTGAAAAACTTAGACAATTAGGATTTGTGATGAATCATGAGTTAAGTGTTGACTTGATCTTGTCATCTCTTCCTAGTAACTTTTCACAATTTGTAATGAACTTCGATATGCATCAGATGGAAGTAACATTACCACAATTGATGAATATGCTAGACACTACCAAAAAATCCATTAAGAATGAAAAGCTTGAGCCTTTTCTAGTTTTTTCATCTAAGGTCGAGAAGAAGTCAGCCAAAAAAAAGAAAAGTAAGAAGGTAGATAAGAAAAGTGGATGCAAGTAAGGCTATCAAGCTTCTTAGCAACATAAAGAAAGATAAAAGTGCATGCCACCTTTATGGTAAGAAAGGTCATTGAAAAGGAATTGCAAAGTCTACTTGGCAAGCTTGAAGGAGAAGAAGTCTAAAAAGACTTCTAATTTAAGTATGTTTATGATTAAGATCAATCTATCTCTTTTTAACACATCTTCTTGGGTACTGGATACCAAATGCGATTCCCACTTACGTAATGACATACAGGGACTAAAGAAGAATAGATACCTAAAGAAGGGAGAGGTGTCCTTGTCTGTTATTAATGGCGCAAGTGTTGTTGCCTATGTCATGAAGACTTATTATTTACCTTTACTTTCTAGTTTAGTTTTAGAACTAAAGGATTGTTATTATGTTCCTATCATAACTCAAATTGTCTTTCAGTTTCTTTTTTAAGTATAAATGATGGATACTCATTTAATGTTTGTTCTTTTTATTTAAATGATATGTTTCGTGGCATGAGAATGTATGATAATGGCTTATATGTTCTTAGATTAAACAATGATGTTCTCAATATAAATGTCATGATGGATAAACTAGATAAACAGAATCAATCTTACCTGGGGCATTGTAGACTTGGTCACATCAATGAAACAAGAATCACAAAATTACAAAAACAAAAATACTTTGATCCTTTTGATTACTAATCATATGGAACTTATGAATCATATTTGCTTGGAAAAATGACCAAATCACCTTTTACTGGAAATGGAGAAGATGTTACTATGGTTCTTAGACTAATACATTTGGATGGCCTAATGAACACAAATGCTAGAGAAGGATACTCCTATTTCATTATATCCACTGATGATCATACAAGATATAGTTATGTGTATTTAATGAAATATAAGTCTAAATCCTTTGAAAACTTCAAAGAATTTAGAATGGAGGTTGAAAAGAAAACTTGTAAAAGTATCATGACACTTAGTTCTGATCGAGGTGGTGAATACTTAAGCTTCAATTTTCTAGGTTATCTAAAAGAGAATAGGATTCTTTTGCAATAGACTCCACCTGGAACACCACAAGGCATTGGATTTTTTGAAAAGAGAAATAGAACCTTTTTGGACATGGTTTGATCCATGATGAGCAATTCAAATCTTTTGATATTCTTTTAGGGTTATGCACTTGAAATAGCCACTTATTTTCTAAATGTAGTTCATCTAAATCCATTGACAAGACACCATATGAGATGTGAAGTGGTAAAAGACCTATCTTGTCACACATAAGGATTTGGGGATATAGTGCTTATGTAAAGCCTGCATAAGCCGACAAGCTTGGAGCGAAATCGATTAAGTTTTAATTTATGGGATATCCAATGGAAATTATTGGATATTATTTACTTTGAGAAACAAAAGATGTTTGCTTTTAGACTTGCTGTCTTATTAGAAAAAGAGTTTATCCTTGAAGAGAACAATGGGAGTAAAGTAGAACTTGAAAAAGTTCAAGAAGCACAAATAGACATAAGAGTGGAACTTGAGTCAATAGCTAAGGCATAAGATGTGTAGCTGAAAGCTCAAAGTACACAAGAACTTCATAGGTCAAGTAGTACTCATTAAAGTTTTAAGAGATATGGATTTCTTATGGACAAGGATGAGTTGATCATAGATGATGATCTTATTACCTATCAAGAAGCAATGTTAGACATTAATTCTGAGAAATGGCATGAAGTAATGAAATCCGAAATGAAATCCATATATGTAAACCAAGTATGCACTTTGGTTGAACCACCCGAGGATAAAACCCATAGGGTGCAAGTGGGTTTTCAAAAAGAAAATTGATAGGGATGGCAATGTACAAATATACAAAGCCAAGTTAGTTGCTAAGGGCTATAATAAAAAGCAAGGAGTTGATTTTGATGAAAGTTTTTCACTAGTAGCTATGTTTTGAATCTAAAAAAAATGCCAACACGGTGTGTAAGCTTTAAAGTTCTATCTATGGACTTAAACAAGCATCAAGGAGTTGGAATATACATTTTGATGGAGCAATTATAGAATTTGGATTCATAAAAAATGTAGATGAACCTTGTGTTTTTAAGAAGACAATTAGGAGTGTAATGTTTTTCATAATGCTATATGTGGATGACATATTGCTTTTAAGAAATGATATACCCATGCTATAATCTACCAAGATTTAGTTATCAAAGAAGTTCTCTATGAAAGATTTGGGAAAAACAACATATGTGCTAGGCATGAGGATTTACAGAGATAGAACAGAAAGGTTGCTTGGTCTCTCACAATTCGGATACATAGATAAAATGCTAAAAAGTTTTAGCATGGAAAAATCCAAAAGGGGACTCTTGCCAATGTCGCATAGCATAAATCTTTCAAAGGACATGTGTCTTATGACATAAATTGAGAAAGATGGCATGAATAAGGTTCCATATGCTTCGACAATTAGATCTGTTATGTATGCAATGCTATGCATAAGGCCTGATATCTTGTATACTCTAAGTATAACAAGTAGATATCAAGCAAATCCAGGTGGATGTCAATAAAAGGCCATGAAAACAATCAAGTACTTAAGAAGAACTAAGGATATGTTTCTTGTCTATGGTGGAGTTGAACTCCTTGTTGAGCGCTTTGACAAAGATGATAGCAAGTCTCAAAATGGCTATGTTTCTACTTTGGATGATGGAGTAGTAAGTTGAAAAAGTTTCAAATAGAGTACAACTACAAACTCTACAACCAAAGTCAAATATATCCCTACATTTGAGGCTACAAAAGAGGTTGTTTGGATCAAGAAGTTCATAGCTGAACTAAGTGTTGTTCCCAGCATTGTTGATCCGATAATAGTCTATTGTAAGAACAATGGAGTTATTCCTTAAGCCAAAGAATCAAGGTCTCATCAAAGATCAAAACATGTATTACGGCGATATTATCTCGTGAGAGACTTTGTTTCTAGAGATGATGTTAAAATTGAACAAGTACTCACTAAAGATCACATTATTGATCCTCTTACTAAAGCTATGTCTTAGCAAAAATATGATAAGCATGTAGTCAAATATGGTATTAGATACATGAATGATTGGCATTAATGCAAGTGGGAGATTGTTGGTATTTGCCCTTCAAGCTGAATCATGTTTTGGCTAAGATATTGTCATATTTGTAGTACTTTACTATTTGATATCTTATAAAGGTCTTATTTCTTTATCATTGAGCTTGTGTACATATATTTCAACATTGATGCTTATATGATAAAGTTCTCAAAAAATAAATAAAGCTTTAAAAGAGAATTACAATGAGATTATAATTATGATATTATCATTGCATAAAAGCTCTACATTCCAAAATTGTTCCTAGTCGATGCTTTATCAATAAGAGGACATTAACAAAAGTTGTTGAAACTAGCATATGGTTACACTCTTGCTTATGATGAAAGCAACCAATATTATAGGTTTAAGTTTGGATAAACATGAGCTAATATGTGTGTGCTTGTTATAAGAATAATTTCATTGAACATCACCTAATACGAGAATGCTATATGATAGTTCACATAGTATCTGTAGCTATATTCTCATGTGATGGTTATATAAGTGATCCTTTGACTTGAGATTATTTATGATCTTATATGACAAATGTTACATTTTGACTTTACTTATGGTTCTAACCGAGAATGCTCTAGTTGAGTATTATTGGGTATAACATGAGGAACACAAAGATGCATGAAGTAATAAAGAAGGGATTCATCACCTTGTGAGATCAATAGAGTATCTCAACTAGTCTTGATTGAATTAACTTGAGAAATCTTTGGCCTAAATGAAATAAGAGTTTAAAATTATTCTAAAGCTTATTTGTGACTTAATGTCAAGGACAAGACTAAATGTGGTTGAACATGATTGAGTAAATACTAAACCATACATATTAATTACACACTAAGGCCAATCACGGATAGGTTGCCAATTGGGGGTCATGGCAATAAAGCTAGCATTGATCATGATCTATAAACATAAGATTGGCTAATTGGAGAATTGGTGATGAAGACAAAAAGTTTGTTTTATCCATAGTCAAATACTAAGGCTTACAATGCTTGTGTTTGCTAACATACTAAAAAACCCAATGGGTCACACACAATAGGACAATTGTGAAAGATTAAAAGTGGAATAAATTAAGTTAAACTTAATTTGATTTTGGTATGACCAAAAATAGAAGAAATAAAAACAAGAGAAAGAGTTTCCTTTGTTTGGTACATTTGGCTAGCATAGGGTTAATTGTGAAAATTTGCAATCCAAGCATTAAACCTAATTTGGTTGAATGCTTACCCTATAAAACCAACATCAAGCCACCCCCTCTTATAAGGAAGTATGTAGAGAAGAAACAAGAAAAAACTAAGTGAAAGAAGTTTCACTCAAGAAAATACAAGGGGTCTTGCAAACACTTACTAGCTAAAGTGTGGCTTTAAGTTCTACCAAACCTTAGAAAAAGTTATTTCACAAGAGTTCGTGTGGATCACCATTAGAGGTTCAATGCTTGGGCAACTGGTTGGCTTGGAATCTATTTGGAAGGTCACCAAATTGAACCAATGGAATTTCAACATTTAAGGTAAGCACCAAAGCCGAAACCTATGCATGCTTGTCAAGTTGTAAGTTTGTATAATCTTGTTGATTGATCTTGGTTTTAGGAAATTAAAATTTTTAAACTTTCTATTGCTTTAACTTTGTATAATGATGCATAATTCCCTACACATAAAACAAGTAA